CACGATTCAACACTACTGCTCATGGCCAAGGCCTTACGGGGGTATGGCCCTAGGCCTGAGCCCTTGACAGATTGGTCAGTACAGCGTACGTCGATCATATAATATACCTAGGCTGGTATAGCGAGGAGTTACCGAGAAGTTACCGAAGGGGGGTTAGGGGGACGGGGGAGGGCCTTCCTTGGCAGGTTGCCGATATTCAGCAACCATATATATGTATATATAAGTTTGTAATAGAGGGAGGAGAGGAGAGGGGAGGGGATAGTAGCGCCTATTATTACCAGCTGGTTCGTATAGAGTATTGATAGATTAGTGGAAGAATAGTATACTGATATGATGATAAAGCCTCGGTCAGGGGTAATCTACCTAGGAAAGCCCTTTAAGGGAAAGGCATAGTACGGGCCTAACTGGGGAGGGGATGAGGTAGACTCGATATAATATGGCCTCTGAGGTTATATAGGTGGCTTATAGGGGCTGAGCCAATAACGACGATGAGGCCTTGGTCAGGGGCGATTTAACTGGGAAGAGGTCTTAAGGGGGGGTGACAAGGCGGGCTCGATATGACGTGGTCTCTCTGGCTCAGCAGGCGGTTCGCAAGTTACGCCGTAAGAGCGAGATAGCACAGGGACAGGACTGCTACGTATATAAGGCAGTTTCGTTCTTACTATTTCTTATTACCGGTAACACCAGGAATATAACAATAGGGATAAGGTGTAGGAAGGAGGTTACAGAGCGTTGTATAAGGAGGGGCGAGGTAGGTGCTATATGATCTAAGCCTCCTGCTGAGCTATTTTCCGGAGAGATACGGTGGATTACAGTATCAAGTCAGGGTTATGATTCGTGGCTCCGACAAAATCCTGTATAAGTAGCCTTTTCCAGCGTGAAGTAACGCTATATGGTAGGCGATCCTCGTTGTCGTCATATTGACAGCGAGGCAGACGCAGCCTTCGAGAAGGCCGACGGCGTGAGGTCGTCTACCTTTGCGATTGGTGATTCGGCTGCATGGACGACAAAGAGGAAGGGACCCGGTTCATGCTGCTATCATAGCCGCCGAACGCGCAACGAGGCCCTTCATAGCCCAGCACGTTGCTTAGGATCTGTCGCAATTGGTGGAGCGCACAGAGAGTAAGAGGCTGAGGTTATGCCGGGTTCGGCTCGTCTCCTGCTCGGTTGCCGAGTCCAAGGCAAGACCGTGCTGATGCCTGCCTCGTCCATCAGGATTTCGTCTTTTTTTTTTTGGCCCTTGAGGTTTGGCGGCTTGCTTCAATGTGGGTGGCGCGGCATCTGGAAGCGAGCCCGATACGGACTGACGACGGCGGACTGTTGGCGGAGACGGGGAGGAGTCCGAGGCCAGCGAGGGATATAAATAAGCCAACAGCGCCATTGCACGCGCTGTCTCTAGCAGACCTTCCTTTATATTTCTCCCAGCCCCGGCGGTCCGGACCTCCCTCCTTGAAAATTCTCCTCTACGGGTCTCATACAACCACGATAGCAGCAGGCTACGTAACTCAAGCGGCTATGCCAGCCCGAGACGTCGACTGCGGCCCGGTCTTGAACAATGATTCAGACGATGATGAATTCCCACCTATCGAAGTGCTCGGTAAGGTTGCCGTCGAGCTAAGGAGCGACAAGACTCTCTCCGGCGACTTCTCCAAGGCTTTGCCCCGGGTCCGGGCGAGAAACAGTGCAGGTGGGTGATCTTCAGCCTTTTGACCGTAGCTAATCGAAGAAGGATCGCCGATATAACGGAATGAGGCGGTGGAAGGAGCCGCTTCCGGGCAGCCAGCAGACGGCAATGCTTCAACCACCCTCTTGCCCGCCGCGCGTCACCGGATCCATCGGCGGCAACGGTCATCTCCACTCAAAGAGGCCGCTCGGAAAGATCCTGCGAAGGCGCCGAGAGGCTCAAGGAGGTCCACACGAATCCAGCGTCGGGATGGCGGGTCACGCGGCTGTATGCGCCCGCTATTCAGGTCGACGCAAAGCACGAGGGTGTTGGTGCGGAGAGGGTTGAATCCTCCAATGCCGGCAACTTGGCCAAGCGCTTGCCCTTGTGTGTTGGTTGCAGAGTGATGCTGACGCGGAACCTGTGGGCCGACGTCGGGCTCATCAACGGCGCGCAAGGCACGGTCCACGACATATCCTGGAAAGAGGGTGCCGATGTACTTTGAGACCCGCCCGATGTTCTTTGAGACCCGCCCGATGTTGTTATGGTGGCCTTCGACGACTACAGCGGCCCAGGCTTTACGATGCCGTGTGGAGAGGAGCTCCGCAGAGGAGAGAAGCTGGTGGTTCCCATTCTTCGCGTACGGCAGGATTTCATGGTTGGTGCCAACCTCTGTTACAGGGAGCAGTTTCCTCTATTGGTGAGCTACGCAATCACTGTCTACAAGTTACAGGGCATCACTCTCGACAAGGTTATCTGTGATATCTCTCTGGCAGAGTTCGCTTCTGGCCTCTCCTACGTGGACGTTTCCCAGGTGAAGACAATAGGCGGGATAATGTTTGAGAAGCCCTTCGGCCGCTATAGGATCTATCTCGAGACACCTTCACGAGCTATAGGGTTGAAGTTGCTCGATCACGTAACCAGGAAACTGTAGGTGTTAGATGCCGTGGAGGATCGCTCGGAGGAGTCTGATTGGGATATAGGTAGCGAGGATAGGGATGTAGAGTAGTTATAACGGGAATGTATATAAATAGCTTAGGCGTAATAGGAAGGCTCAGATAGAGAGAGTTGTTGGCCGACGGACAGATATTGGCGCTTCGTCTCTCCCGTACTCAACGCTAACCCCAGGAAGTCCGGAGGACAGGACAGGAAAATTGCCAGGAGCGGGAGAGAGGAAGGAAGCGCCCCGTAGCGCAGCAAAGGGCCGCGCAACTGACGAACGAAGCGACGCCAGGAATTTTAATGATATAACAACAGTATTAGAGAAACCCTTGCCTAATAGCTATCAAGATATCACGATACTATAACGGTACAATAGACTGAAACTAACTTAATCTGAACTCCTCGAGTCTGAACTCCACAGATCTGAACTCCTTGACTTAGACCTCTTCGACTTTAACCTCCTCGACCTTGACCTCCTCGAGTCGAAACTCCTCGAGTCGAAACTCCTCGACCTTGACCTCCTCGACCTTGACCTCCTCGAGTCGAAACTCCTCGACTT